CAGTCATGGCTACTATGAGAGAAATACCAACTAAGAATATAATTATATCTGTGAAAACGATTCCTGTATACCCTATCCTTGTTAGTTCTCTTTTAACTGTACTGCTATAATTCTTAATTGGCCACAGTAACGGTTTTATTACTTTGAAATGTATTTTTTCTTTTTCGAAGATATGCATTATTTTAGTACATATAATGCCCTAAAACAAAATATCAAATTATGTTGGTAGTTGGTATAAACAAGAAACAAAAAATCCATGTTTTTCGTCTCAGTTTAAACTAAAAATATACAGGGTTGTTCACCACATACGACACGGCGTATTGTAGCTAAACGATTAAATTTTTACAAATTGTAAATTTTGGGTTCGTTGAAGGACTATTAGAGCTACAATTTAAAAATATTTTTACAAGTTACAGAGTGTCCCAAATAAATAAAAAATATCAAAGTTGTATTTTTTTAAATGGAACACCCTGTATATTATTACATTTTTAGTTTCTACGATTAAAATAAAGGTAAATTTGATTAAGGTTTATTACACTTAAACTTTACCGTTTTTGAAATATTTCCAATTCTGTGAAATTGCAGTAGTATAATTTTAAGGCTTCATTTCTCCGAGGGGTATCAAAGTTTTTAATACTAAATATTTACTGAAGTTTATTTCACTGATCAGTTATTGTGTTGCAATAATAAACATTTTACTACCTTATACAGTGTGTCTAAAATATTTATTTTGAATAATTATTTTTAAAACGGCAATAATTTGTTTAATTTAAAATGGAACACCCTATATATTTTATAAGAATCAGATGCACACTTTAATTGTTCATCAAATTGTATTATACCATTTTTTACCTATCTCTTCAAGCTTCAGTAGAAAATGCATTTTTCTTGTAATTTAGAACTCATTTATCAATATACCCATGGAATACTGACATTTTTTAGATTATTTTTTAAAGATGTACCAAAATTTTTAAAGAGTACAGATACCATTAATGTCAATATAGTTCGTTTATTTCATTAAAACATAAAAAAAGACTGTTTAAATATTTGTTAAAGAGGACCAATTAATATGATTCCAGTATTCAAACTACATTAATTGACTGTTTGCGTTGATTAATAATAATTGCTCCAAATACTAAAAAACTGAATTATTTATGTGTGGTAAAAAAACTAACACCTTGAAAATGATATTTCATTTTTTAACAAATGCTTATTTATAACAACACAGACGTTCATTTTCATAACTTATTATTATATTGATTTCTGATTCAAATCCACATTTATTTAGAATAATTTATTAACGAACAAAATTAAGTATGTAATTAATTAGTAGGTATTTGGGCGGAAATACTGGTGGTATATTTAATTAATGGTATACTCTTTTATAAAGATTTAAATAGTTTTCTTTTTGCATACAAATGGGCTAGTAATATCATCGTTTTACTAGCCTGTACATTTTGTATATTTGTTGTTTTAAAAACAATCTAAAATGTCAATATTCGATGGGTATATTGATAAATGAAGTCTAAATTATAAGAAAATGCATTTTCTATGAAAACTTGAAGGGATAGGTAAAAAGTGGTATAATACAATTTGATAGACAATTAAATTGTGCATCTGATTCTCATAAAATATACAGGGTATTCCATTTAAATTAAACAAGTTATTTGCTGCCTAAAGCTAATAAATTATTTAAAATAAATTTTTAGACACTCTCTAAGGTAGTATAATTTTCATTTCCAATAAACTTCAGTAAAGTATTTAGTATTAAAACATTGATACCCTCGGAGAAATGAAAGCCTTAAAATTACTATTGCAATTTTACAAAATTGAAAATATTTCAAAAACGGTGTAAGGATTGAATGTAATAAACCTAAATCAAACCTTTATTTTAGTCGTAGAAAACTAAAAATACAATAATATATAGGGTGTTCCATTTAAAAAATACAACTTTGATATTTTTATTTGTTTGGGACACACAGTGTAAAATATTTTTAAATTAGCTCTATCAATCCTTCAACGAACCTAAAATTAAGCAATCTTGAAAAATCAAATCGTTTAGCTACAATACTCCGTGTCGTATGTGGTGAACAACCCTGTAGTATATAATAAATTTCAAATATAGTATAATAATATAAATTTCGAAAGATATTTTCAAAAAATCACATATGAATCTTTATTTATATGAAACTTATAAACCAACCCGAAAAATTAATTTATCTGAAAAACGATAAAAAATATGTTTTTTATAAAACCAGTAACCAGCTTTGAAAATATTTGCACTTTTTTAAGTCTCATCCTGTATATTTCAAGGGAAAACAATCATTTTTGTTCCTCATTTCAGCAAGATAAGAAGCTCAGATATCAAAAAAATATACAGGGTGAGTTTCCTACGATGTTCGCTATGGGTATCTCGGAAACTACTGGAGATAGAGATTCGTTTAAATGGGGAAAGAATTGCAGTTTTGTGGGATCATAAATATGCGCCTTTCAGATTTTTGAAAAAGTTTATGGCTTACTAGATATTTCGAAACAAACAAATTTTAGCTATTTTAAAAATTGTCCCTAATTCCATTATAATCTATTTTAGACAAAAAGTTTTCAGATAAAAGTTGTAGATAATCACATCCCTAATGAGTTTGTGTTCTTCGATTTTTTCTAAAGCCTGTCAATTTTGACATATGACACAAACATGTTTTTGTTAAATGGTAACCATAGTTGGCCATGACTTCAAAAAAATCGCCATTTTTAAGCTTTTCAGCGATATAAGCTATAATATGTTTTTTTCACAAAATTACTGAGTTATAGCCAATTCTTATCTTTCTTGACTAATTTCACTTAGTTAGCCATGGAAACAAGTTCAATCGTCGTGGCTCTCAGAAATGTGAAACTGTCACATCCAAACTTTGTAAATTAAAATAAACAAAAATTGTAAATATGAATTTTTCAAATGAAGAAAAGCGTGTAGGATTATTGGTTCAACTTTTCTTGGCCATACAGTTTCGAGAATACGTTGACCGGTGAACGTTACTTACGTTTTTTAGAGAACGGTTTTAAAGACATGTTAGAAAAGTTAAATTTAGATACTCGCGCATCAATTGAGTGGTTTCAACATGACTTTCATTATGGCACAGAAAGAGGTGGACCAGGGACGTAGCAACAGGGGGTGCAAGTGGTGCGGCGCACCAGGGCCCGTGGCCCGGAGGGGCCCGGCGCCGCCCTAGCGGCATTGGCTCTTGCAACCCGATTCTAAATTTGACTTTTAACATTATATTTCAGAATATCGGCAGAAATGAAATAAAATTACATTACAATTAGCTGTTCAGGTATTTGATAATGGCTATTATTAAATCGATTGAGTCACATCCCTAGTTTCTTCTTTGAGAACAAAAAAGCCGCGTCATCAGTGCAATCTTAATTTCGCACGCTGGCGCTGTCAAATATCGGTATAATTCGCGGTAAATCGTAATATTGATATTTTTTGACTTTTTGAAGTGAGTTTTTAATATTATTTATTAGTGTAAGTCTAAGTGTAATTACATTAGCCTGTGGGTTAGCCTGAAGCCTGACTGTAGTAACTTGGTAATTAATTTTTAGTCATTTTATAGAAACGGCGGAATGTTTAGATGGACGTTTAATAATGATACTACTATTAGTGGCTATTTTCAAAATACTTTAAAATTCTTTACAACTGACAATTTGTTTGTTACGGCTAAAAAATAAAAAAACACATTTTTACGAAAAGAAGAGATAACATTAAAAAAATAGTACTTGGTATAAAACTATGCTCTTTTTACCCATTTCTTGTCTGAAAAATGGACGCAATCCGTTAAATTAAAAAGTAGTGTGTTTTTTAGTTAATCTGTTACAAGAAAATAAAAATCTATATGAAAATTGCCATTAGATATCTTTTTAAGTAAAAAAGTTATCTAATGACAACAAAATTATTGGTCTCATATATAGGGTGTCTCATAAGTCATGGATCAAATTTAAATAGGAGATAGGGGAGGTTATTTCCAACAAAAAAAGTGCTATAAACATGTATCCTAAAATGCCTGGTTTTCAGATACAGGGTTATTGTTGTTTCTTTACACAAAAACCGTTCGTCGGACAAAAAAATGTCAAGAGACCATTTTTGACAGCAACTAGTAAGAGGTTACGAAAATAATTTTTATTTTGGAAAAAAGCAGTGGCGTACCGTTTTTTCATTGAATAAAATTATCATTTTTCACTTTCAACACCCTGTATCTTGAAAAGCAGGTATTTTAGGATACATGTTTATAGTTTTTTTTTGTTGGAAATTACCTCCCCTATCTCCTGTTTAAATTTGATCGGTGACTTATGGGACACCCTATAAAATAACTAAATTTTAAGTTGTCTAGTTTTGCATTCAGCTGCGATATGAGTCAGTACAAACATTTGTCGAGAGCTGAAAAGCGAAAACGGAAAGAAACTGAAAAACGTGAAAGGGAAAAACTTCCTAAATTAGCTTCCTTTTTCCATCGTGTTGAGAAAAATACAGTTGAATTATATGAATTGTCTGAACCTGAAAATAAAGACGATAAGGATAACCCCGGAACACCTCTATCACCGAAGTCAATTACAATGAGTATTGCAAAAGAAGAAAACCAAGAGGCAACCACAATTTCTTCGACTTCCCTATCTGTATCTGTTTCACAAACAACGGTGTCACATCTCAGTACCGAAAAGAGTAATTTCAGCAGTATTCTCAGCGATTCGAATAAAAGATTTATAGCAAAACACGGACCATGTCAACCAGAAAATATGCAATTTCCTAAAAATGCTAAAGGTCGATCGTTTAGTTTGGCGTACTACAACCAACGATCCAAGTCAGGAATTGTATACAGAAGAAATTGGCTGTGTTCTCACCAACATGGAATGTAGCTTACTGCGAACCTTGCTGGGTTTTTGGAGACAGAACTCAAGGATCATTAAATTGGGTAAATGGATTTAATGACTGGGGTCATATTTCTCGGAGTATGACTAAGCACGAATCTTCTAACAATCACCTTTCTGCTTGCCTGATATGTAACAAATGGAAAAGCGATCAAGTATTGGACACGGACTTGGATAAAACGCTGAAATTTAAAACTAATTATTGGATTAAAGTTTTGGAACGAGTTATTAACGTCACATTGACTTTGGCTAAAAATAATGTATCATTCAGAGGAGACAATGAATCGTTATATGATGGCGATCACAATCGTGGCAACTTTCTAAATATTATTGAGCTATTGTCAATTTATGATCCAGTTTTGAAAGAGCTTTTATCAAAAGATAAAAAATGTGTAAAATATTTGTCGCCAACCATTCAGAACGAAATTATCAACCTCTTAGCCAATGAGGTAAAAACTGAATTGATCAGTCAAATAAATGAATCTCCATTTTTTTCAGTAATAATGGACACAACTCAAGATATTTCAAAAATTGATCAAGTGAGTTTTGTAGTGAGATATGCCGACTTCATCAAGGATAACGACAATGTTATTCGTGATGTTGTTATAAGGGAAGTTTTTCTAGGGTTTGAAAAATGTATGGGGCAATCTGCTGAAGACATGGTGAAACAATTATTATTATTCTTTGAAAAGAATAATTTGAGCTTTGAAAGACTACGAACTCAAGGCTACGATGGTGCGGCTAACATGACTGGCGTCTACAATGGCCTGCAGGCCAAAATTTTGGAAAAACAACCCAACGCGTTATATGTATACTGTGCTGCACATAATCTAAACCTAGTTATCAATGACTCTGTAAAAATTTCAAGGGAGTTACAAAATTTTTACGATTTTGTAGAAAGTCTTTATGCATTTTTTGCACATAGCATAAAACGATGGGCAGTATTGACGGAAATGTTCGACCTTAAGAAGCACATTAAAACGATTGTGCCCAACGCGATGGTCGTCTCGTTATGATTCTCTTCATAGCTTAAGGTTTCACTATCGAGAAATTTTACAAGTTTTGACAAAACTAACCCTAACAAGCTCGAAAACAACGGAACAAAATGAAGCACTGGGATTAAAGAAAAAACTGGAAAATTTTGAAACAGTTGTATTGATAGTGATTGAACATAAAACATTAAGTATCACAAAGCTTGTGTCCAATGCACTTTTGGAAACTGCTAAGAAAGACATTGCAGAAATGAGGAACAGTTTTGAGGAAGTTATTAATGAAGCAGCTGATTTAGCTCGTGGTTGGGAAATCAATCCAAGTTTTAAAGAACACAGGATCCGCAAAGTGAAAAAACAATTCGATGAGTTATCATGTGATGAACGATTATTCAATGCCAAAGAAAACTTCCGTGTCGGTGTTTAATATAACGTTGGACGTTATTATATCTCAACTTGAAAATCGATTCAAAGGGTTAAATAGCGTAGTTAAAAGATTTAAAGTAATTTTTCCTTCGGTCTTGAGAGATCATTCTGATGCTGATTTGGTCCTCCTATCTGAAAACCTGATCAGCTTTTATTCCTATGATCTATCATATTTATTTTCGCAAGAAATTATTATAAGTTTCAGGCGAGTTTACAAAGATCAAATAAATGCAGACATTTCAGTTAATGACTTGGCGAAGTTAGTTATTTGCGATCAAATGATCTCCAGTTCATTCACAGAAATCTGCTGTGCTTTTATCCTTTTTCTAACAATTCCTGTATCGGTAGCGACTTCCGAAAGATCATTTTCAGTATTAAAATTAATTAAGAATTATTTAAGAAATAAAATGTCGCAGAACAGACTCTCCGGCTTGGCAATTTTATCAATAGAAAACGAGACAGCCAGAAACTTGGATCTTAATAGTGTTACGTTTTTCGTCGGTTCCGTGTGGATAGAAAGTCACAATTTATTTAAACACTATTTATTTAACACTAATTAACAAAAACAATAACGATAAAAGACTTATAGAACTATTTACAAACGATTTATCACTAAGAATTTATTTTGAATTTTAGCGCGTCAACTGTATATTTATAACTGCCCCCTGTAGGCCACCGCCGCCGGCTTTTATACCGACAGGTAAAGAACTCTAGAATTGTCCATAGATCGTTAGGTGCGTAGACAAGGTTTTCGAATGTTCTCGTATGTACTAGTCCATTCCAGTGGGACTCGATTCTTCTAGAACGAATGAATCATTGCGGTGTCTATGCGATGTTAAGGTCATCCGAGGGCGGGCCATATTGTGAGGTTAGGTCGAGTCCACACCGGCTCGCAACACTGCCCCCTTCTTAGGCACATGCTCGTCCCGAGATGTATACGGTGAATGAAGGTGGCCCCTGGTACATTGCGAAGTCTGGTAAAAATAGCAGTCTACAGTTTTCTCTCCCGATCTCAGCTTTGGGTTGTAGCAGCAAACGAGGATCTCGATTCCCGTAAATCTGAACAAGACTTCAATCATGTTCCGGATTGTACACCAACTCAAACCATCGAGTCCACACGCCAGCTTCGGAATGGCTAATCGTGCAATGTTGTTGTTTAGCAGGGCTTCTCTCAGTTCAATCAGGGTCTTCCATAGATTGAGATAAGTCGGCTTACTCGGGGACCATTCCTTGGTGACCAGGTAGAAGATGTGCCTTGCTTGACCATGTGCATTGTCGGTTAGCCTCAAGACGCTTCCAACCTCTGGATCCTGTCGGCGTAGTTCTCCGACACGCCCAAACTTCTCATTGAACGTCGCAGCGATTCCTCTGGACATCCGCAAATCTCGAGCCACACAATGAGCGAGCGAATAATCAGGAGGCACGGAAAAGAGGTCTCGTTGATCTTCTTTGGTTACACCATAGCGAGCCTTCTCACTGCTGTTGTATCGGGCCATGAAATCGTCAAAGGACATCTCCGAATCAGGGGGATCAAAGCTGCAGGTTCTCACGGTCCCAGCACGATCTTCTATTTCGCCTTGGTAGGGGCTCAAACGGTTGAAATGGACTACCCTCGGTTTTCCTTTTGGCAATTTTCTGATACGGTATACGACGTCATTAATTCTATCCATGACTTCGTATGGCCCTTCCCACGAGGATTGTAGCTTCGGAGATAACCCACGACGTCTCTGCGGGTTATATAGCCACACCAACTTCCCTGGTTGGTATCCTCCATGCTCAGCTTGAATGTCGTAGTGTTCCTTCATTCGGTCACTAGCACTTTGAATATTTAGGCGGACTCTCTGATGAATGTCGTCCATCCTTTGACGTAGTGTGTGGACATAATCTTCTCCGGCGATTCTTCTCCCGGTCGGCAACCAAATTTCAGATCACAAGGTAGGCGCACTTCCCGTCCCATAACGATGCTGGCTGGAGTTTGCCCTGTAGATTCTTGGATGGATGAACGGTAGGTCAACAGGAACAGGTGAAGAAATTTGTCCCAGTCTCTTTGGTGGTCAGAGACTATTTTGGCCAGATAACGGTTGATAGTTCTGTTCATGCGTTCAACCATCCCATCGGATTGTGGATGTAGAGCAGTCGTCCTGGTCTTTCGGATGTTCAGGATTTCACAGACGCCTTGGAACAGATTGGATTCAAAGTTTCTTCCCTGATCTGAATGAAGCTCCATGGGAACACCAAACCTGCAGATCCATTCTTTAACAAGGGCATCAGCAACGGTGGACGCTTCTTGATTTGGCAACGCGTAGGCCTCGACTCATTTGCTGAAGTAATCCATTAGTAGTTATTAGTCCATTATTAGTACCACAATGTATTTGTTGCCATCGTTCGTCTCCGGAAAAGGACAAGCCACGTCGATCGGTATTCGTTCGAAGGGACTGCCAACATTGTACTGGCGCATAGGGGCTTTACCACGCTTTTATGGCCCATTGAGGGCTGCGCAAGTGTCACATTTCTTATACCAGGCCCTCACATCTTCTTTGCAGTTCACCCAGTAGAACCGTTCACGCAGCTTGCCAAGTGTCTTGGTAACACCAAGATGTCCACCGCTGGTTCCATTGTGAACTTCCTCCAAGACTTCTGGGACCCTCTTCTTTGGAATGACGATTTGCCTTCTCTCTTCTTGTCCCTCCGGTCGCTCGATCACACGGCGAAGTAGTCCGTTATCTATTACCAAGGAATTCCACTGGGCCCAGTACGACTTTACGTTCGGCGAATATCTGCAAACTTCTTCCCACGTTGGTCTTTGGCTTGTGTTTTTCCAGTTAATTACTAAACCTAATTCTGGGTCACTAGTTTGGTCATTTGCAAGATCTTCGGTTGCCAACTATCATTAACCACAGTTGTTCTTAGGAGTTTCACTTCTTTCTCTTCTGCTCGGGAACAATGCTTACAGTCCTTAGCGCAAGGTCTTCTGGAAAGTGCGTCGGCATTCCAATGGATTGCCCCAGCTCGATGTTCTGTGTCGAAGTCAAATTCTTGTAATTGTTCAATCCATCTAGCTACCTGCCCTTCAGGATTCTTAAACTGCAACACCCATTTCAAAGCAGCATGGTCTGTTCTTAACAAGAACTTTCTTCCATAGAGATACTTGTAGAAGTGTTCCACTGCTTTAACTACTGCTAGTAATTCTCGTCTGGTTACACAGTAGTTCCTTTCCGGTTTTGACAAGGTCTTACTAAAATATCCAATGACTTTTTCTTGACCATCCTGGATCTGAGACAGAATAGCGCCTAACGCAACATTGCTAGCGTCGATATCCAATATAAAGTTTCCGTTGCCAAGAGGGTAGCTAAGTATGGGCGCACTAGTCAGGTCCTTCTTCAATTTTCGGAATGCCTCGTCAGAATCTGAGTCCCAAGAGAAACGCCTCTCGCCTTCGGTAAGTCTGGTCAATGGTTTTGCGATGGTGGCGAAACCCTGTACATAGCGGCGATAATATGTGCATAGTCCCAAAAAGCTTCGTAGTTCATGTTTATCTTTAGGTATTGGCCACTCTTCCACTGTCTTGGTCTTTTGTGGATCTACCGCAACTCCTTGGGAGGAGACTACACGTCCCAAGTAGTAGAGCTCCCCAGTCGCTTGAAAACTTCTTCCAAATTCTTCAGATGATCGTCAAAGGATTTCCCAACCACTATGATGTCATCCAGGTACACTAAACAGGTAGTCCAGGATAGTCCCTTTAACACAGACTCCATTAGTCTCTCAAAGGTAGCTGGCGCGTTGCACAATCCAAAAGGCATGACGGTAAATTGCCACAGTCCGGTGCCCACCGAGAACGCTGTCTTCTCTCTGTCTTTCGGCGCCATGTCGACTTGCCAATATCCACTCTTCAGATCTAACGTAGAGAATATCGTTGACCCCGCCAGCGTGTCTAGAGTATCGTCTATCCTCGGCAGGGGATAACTATCCTTCTTGGTAACATTATTGAGCTGCCGATAATCAACACAGAACCTGGTGGTACCGTCTTTCTTCTTTACTAGTACTACCGGCGATGTCCACGGGCTGTTAGATGGTTCGATGACACCCTCTTCTTTCATTTCTCGAAGGATTTTATCAGCTTCTTCACGTTTGGCGAGCGGAAGTCTTCTCGGATTTTGTTTGATTGGTCGTGCATCTCCGGTATCAATTTTGTGTTGTACTAAATTGGTACGACCTCTCTGTCCTGCTTCTCCTTTATCAAACACATCTTGATACTTGATTATCAGGTTTCTCAATTTTCTTCTATTTTCGGGAGATAATCCTTTAACGTTTACTAACTCCTTCACCATTTTGTCCGGAATTTTTGAAGTCGAAACTTTGGAGGCTTCCACGCTTCGAACGACTGAGGAGACCGAACAACAGTACCCTAAGAGGGTTCCCTTCTTCAAGGATACAGAATAATAATTCGTGTTCATTACTCTCACCGGTACAGTTTTCTTCGCTCGTAGCAGGGCTTTTCCAACAGCGATCCCTCGTCCTATTTCGCTGTCATGGTTCCTTGGCTCCAACAGAATAATACTCCCATTATTCATTTTACCTTCTAGGCAACCATCCAAAAATAT